TTGGCAGTTTTGGCATTATTCTAGAGATTTGAGATTGGGAGCTGCAGGTGGTGTACCTGAAATCTGAAATGGAACAAGGACGGTGTTAATTTGTTGTAATGTTGGTCCTTATTATTTTAATCTTTTATCCACCGTTGTGTTCATTATTTATTTACCATTTATTCTAGTCGGATCTAGAACAAGAATTCATATTTATTTACCATTTATTTCTCTTTAAAAAAACCACTTTTATTAATTTATTATCCTCTGTATTCTTTTGACACATCCCAATTCACTCGCTCCTTTGTCTTGGTGACTGTCACTTTACTCTTTTCCTTTACTTTCGGTTTGTTTTATTTATTGCTTATGTTGGATCTAACCTAGGGCTCTTTTTGGGTGGCTCGGCCTGAATTGAATTGAATTGGATTGAATTGAATTGATCTAAATGAGCTATTCTAGACGATGTTAGACTATTGTTTAATTTAAAGTCCATTCCTAGCATACCGAATAACGGTCAAGATATTTGTTCAATTTAATTGGAAAAAAACATCTTTATTTTGTTAGGTGACAATGATTTGCATCTCTAAATCTGATGGGTGAAAAAAAAGGGGGTGGGCTGAGTAATTTGCATCATTTAATGTTTCGGATGCACTGGATATGATCAAAGCCCATTGATATGTACCCTCTTTTATGTGCCATTTATAGTATTCTGCATTATTTCCTGAAAATGATAGAAAATTTCCATTTACATAATGAAATGTGATTGGCGACCAGAAGAAACTAGAAAGAAAGAAAGAAAGAATTAGAAGCGTGTAAAGGCACCAAGAATCTCTTTTCTTCCAGCTGCAAGTCATTCTGTCATCATTTCTACTTTCAACCAACCATGAATGTGAAGCTAATATGGTGGACATATCAGGCTAAATGAAGCTAAATCTGGTTACAACTTACAGGTATGATTTTAAATATTCCAATATAACAAAAATAGAAGAAAATTATGAAAATAATCCAAGGATTATAATAGTTGGTACTCGTAGTATTAAGTAGTTTTATTTTTAACAAGCGATAGTATAAATTATTATAAATTAATCCAATCTACGGAAGGAGATATTCGAACTTAAGTGCAGGACTCAGCCAATTTACCCTAACCCAAATATGTGCATATTAGTAATGAAAAATTCCAGAAGCAACGATACTTCAATTCCAAAAGTTGTCTTGAGGGGAAAGGAATCCCAAAATGGTATAAAATAAGTGTAGCCAAATCATTCATTTTTATATAAAAATATATTTCTATTTTAAAGTGTTGTAATAGAATGAGCACTACGACTACAACATCGATCTGGTGATTGGAGGAGAAAAACTTTGAGTATACAAATAATATCTTCACGTTTTTATCCTTTGTAGGGTAGGATTGTGTTGTCTTAAAGCCCAACCAATTATAATTGAGAAAAGAAAACCCATGTCATCATTGAAATTGGGACCATCAATAAATGGTGAAAAACCCCCTCGCGACTATTCGGCTTGTCGAAATGTCCACCCTGAAAAAAAAAATCAGTCAATTTAGCCTTCGTATTAAATTTAATCGCCAATTTCACCCCAGCCATTAGGTTTTCTCCAATTCCATCCAAATAGCCGTCAAAAAAATCACGTGAGAGGCACGTGAGTCGTCTGCTGAGGGTAATATCATCCTTTCACACCTCAGCCCTTAGCCCCCTTTGACTGCTTCCTTCGTATGGTCAATCAAAATCCCCAAAACACCAGAATTCAATCAAAATCAAACCCTAAAATTCAGCTCAAACCGCACACGTAACCCCAATCCATACCTCGTCGGCTTCGCAGTCAGAGCGCGAACTCGTCGATCTGCGGCCTTGCTGGCGCTCATCGTCATCGACAGCAACACGAGAACTGTTATCATCATCATCGTCTTCATCCTCACCGTTATCATCTCCATCACTGTCGCCGTCAGCAGCCCCAGTGGTATCAAGCGACTCGAGGACTCTCTGGCACTGCTTGAGCACAGCCTGCAGAGTCTTCCGCTTCACGCAGAGCTTATCCTTCTGCGAATCCGCTCTCCTCAATTTCGCATCGGCCGAGAGATTCGAACCGGAGACCTCGCCGACGAAGAAGGCTTGGGCGTTTTTCGAAGAGAAGAATTATTGGGGGGGATTTTC